GCAAACGTCTCCGCTGGGTCTGATGTGACTTTCTTAAATATAAATGCATTTTTCGAGCATTTATATTTGAATCTGTTTTGGTTCATTACTTCATCTTAAGCTCCACCAGCAAACCCCCACCCCTTTCCTCTTCCATCCACTACTACTTCCTCCCTTCCGCTTCTCTTTGCGGTTAAACGACCACCACATAAAAGGGTATGATGTAAGAACAGCCCACTAAACTAATACTGCCGTCTCAAAGCAGCCTCGGCGCAGATGTTATTAAGATTCAAAACAAACCAAATTCATTACAACAGCTCTGTTTATTGCAGATTGGCTGACAGCTTCTCCCAGTCATATTGCTAATTTACCCTCTAAACACTTGGGAAGGTTATAATTATGCAATGACGTCCTCTTATCAACCAGAATACACAAACAATGAGGTCAGAGGGTTAACCTTCAACTGGTTTAGCTCTGCCCATAAATGACAGCAGTGAAGCAAAGCAGGTTTTAATTGAGCAAAGCAAAATAAAATTTAAAAAAAGCACAAAACAAATTAGTCCTCATTAATAAGTTACTTTATCAGACTATTTAAACCATATGAGCAAAGAATACTGGAGGCTTTGATGTTGACAGGGATCTTCAATAATTAATTATTTGATTCATATGCGTTTCCTCAAAACGTCTGACCCTTTACAGAAACCCGTGCTCTCAGTAAAGCTCCAGCATTTTAAACAGGACAGAAACACCATGTATATTATTACACCGGATTATCTCTGCGAGCAGTTTTGCAAGCAGAAGATGTTTTTAACGGAGATTGGGCAGAGATTTTGCTTTGATATTCAAACACTGCTTTATTTTTTTAATTTAATTTTTTTACTACTGTCTTTGCCCAGATGCCATAGCTTTCCCATCATTTTTCTTTTCTTTCTTTTTTCTTTTTTGGTTTTTGGCACCAGCCTCTTCACACATTGTTAAGTGGCAATAAGAGAGAAAATAACAGATTATGTTGATAAATAGGATCATCCTGAGCTAAATGCTGAATGTGTGCGATCAGGAGGGAGAACAGGATCCTTGGACAATGTGCAGGGCATGTGGACAAATAGTCTCACCTCCAACTGAGTGTGTTGTTTCTTCTTATTGTGCCCTCTGAAAGAGCAGGAGGGCCTTGGTTAAGAAGATTATAGGGCTACCCCACCCGTACGTTTAATCAACATGCCCTTTCAACGCCGCCAACAATGCCAAACATGTCTAAAACGTCCCCCCATCTCTCCCATAGCATACCTCACATGTTGGAACAGCATGCCAGTCAGCTAAGCGCGGCAATTAACTGAAATACTGTGATTGCTCTTGCTGATAGCGAGTCAGCTTTGGGCACACTCTCATCAGAGAGGTGATGGCCTCAGTTTCAGAAATGTCACCACTATAGTTGCGTGTTTTATCTAATTTGAAGCCACTCAAGCAAAAAAAAAGAAAGAAAAGACACGAGGTACAACTCATTTTTACTGATCGAAATTCTCTTAAGAGCCCAAGGAGCTTTGCTTCCTCGCCCTTCATTTCTTTCATCCGTTGTTAAATATGTAAATAAAATGTCTAAAGTCATTCTTCAAAGGGGAACAAAAGAAAAAAGGGGGCTGAGGGAAAAGACAGCCATAAAATTCCTCCGATTCTCCATAACATTAGCCAGAGGGGGGCCAGCTTCCAGCCAGAGCCTAGCAGCAGGGGAGCGAGCTCGCTCCATAGAATCACACATCTCAAATCCCACACACACAAAAAATAAAATATCTTTTCAGCTTCAGCCATCAAAGGGCCCTCCCTTTCACTTTATTAGTTACAGAATTATCTCACAGTTGCTGATTTCTCAGAGATGGAGCAGTGCCGCTTTTCTTCGTCGCACTGTTGTGGTTGCAGAGATGAGATAAAGTTGCTGTGTGTGCATGTGTGTGTGTGTGTGTGAGAGAGAGAGAGAAATAGACTGTGCGAGTAGGAATCAGTTATAGGAGGGGGTATATAAAAAAAGGTGGGGGGGGGATGCTGAGGGAGGGGAGGATCATAAAAGAGACAGTGGTAGCTACTGATGCGACAGATGCTAAAGACTGAACAGGCCGGATTCCTTCTCTTTTTCTTCCCGTTTTCAAAGAGATATCATCATGACCAGCAAAACAATCATTAAAGAGAAGGAGGCAGGAGGAAAGACAGGGACGAGAACAGAACAAAGGCGATGAATTACAACAAGCCAGCAGACTGTGTCTTCTTATTAGACTATGTGACAATTTTATCTTGTCTGCTTCATTACACCAAAGGCAGTGGAAATAAGGGCAGATATTTGCTTTCAAAAATGCCAGACAAGGTTTCCTAAAAGCCAGATGATCAGTAAATGGTGAGCAGAACAGGCCCAGCGAGCAAGCAGATATTATATTATTCTTCACATTAAAGCCGTCAACTCTTTTTATTTTTTTACGTCTGCGCATCAGCCGCAGACTAATAGAGCTCTAGTTGGGTGGGAGGGGTAGAGCAGGCAGGTCAGCTGTTGTCCTTATCTTTGCGAGGGGTCCGAATATCAAAAAGAAAAGAGGGGGGGGGGGGGGGGGGGACTGCTGCTGTATTACAAAGGAAAATGGTTTCCATTATTATTCTTCGTTTCCCGCCAGAATGACTTTAACTAAAGATTTCCCCTTTGGAAATATTATATCTGTCAGGAAATGAAACTAGCATAAGCAGCTAAAGGCTGTGGACACACCACAAGGCACACATATAAGCAGTGTGTGAAGTGAACATCAAGTATTTTATACTCACATTTAGGACCGGAGCACCTAAAATGTTAACAGCTGGATACATGAAATCTGAGGAGCACATGTGCTGCATAGGAGGAGGGTATTGTGTCCATAAGTGTATTCATACCCCATATTTATGCTCTCGCTCCTCACGCTGAGCACTAACAGCTGAAGTGCCACCACTAAGATATGCTGGGCTTAAGCCATTTAGGCACGCTGGTGCCGGGTTTCTCTTGCTCGGACACATTTCTGAAATACTTCTAAAAGCACTTTAGTGACTTGTAAAAATGCACTAAAAGCACTCCTGTTTACTTGTGATCAGCATTTCACCCGCAGTGGAGACCATAGCCAGGCCTCAGTATAAATCTTACCACTACAAGGTAGTGTGAGCAAAGCCTGGAGGATCTCTCTCTCTCTCTCTCTCTCACACACACACACACACACACACACACACACACACGCACGCACGCACGCACGCACACACACACACACGCACACGCACACACGCACAAAACAGGCAGAAAGTCCCTTGTGCCATCACATCCTGCCATATAGCACCACTAAAGTTAAACAGATAGTTTAGAGAACAAGCCTGCATAATGAAAAGAACAAAGTGTGGTCAAATCCTCTCTCCACTTGTACTGCTCTGAATCACAGGGAGTTGGAGCTTAACAAGCACAAGAGCTAGGGTGAAAACTGAACAGATCATCAGTGTATTTGTATTTGTGGAAAAAGTGGTCAGTTCAGCCAATCCACATGTCTTAAGAGTGGGAGGAAACCGGTGCACCTGCAGGAAACCATCAGAGAAAGCAAGAACAAGCAAAGTGCACAGAAGTTGAAACGCCCAGTGGTTTATCCATACCAAATTATTTTCAGATATTTGTCTGGGACAGCAACCTAATATTTACTCTTTAACGTTTCAGTTTTGCTTGCATTGAAATGTGATGGAAGAAATTAGCATCCAAAAAAAAAGATTTTAAAAAAAAAGCTGAAATTGACCTGATCTGGTGAGAATGGAAGTGTCGCTGTAGGAGACGTTAAACAGTAAATTTATTTACTGCTGCAAGTGTACCTCTGTAAGCTTGACAATAGAACAATGGCACCACTTTAGGACCACAGATCCAAAAGGAATTTGACCTTCTTATTTGTTTGCAGAATGGCTTCCTTCATTGGAAAAAAGGCAGGAAATGTCTGCGAGGTATTGTTGAATTATGCGTTTGCAACGTTGGCCAGAGCACCCAGATTCTTGTACTGCTGAATCCTAAACAGCTCCCAAAACTGGACGTACTTTTACCATTATCCTTGTGTGTTTTGGCTTTTCTTCATGAGTGTTTTGTTGTTTGTTAAAGACTGCCCAGAGATGATTGCGACACAATGCAGTCAGATTCCTTTCTTTCACAGTTAAAAGAATACGTCTGTAACATTTTGGTTGGTTTGTTCTATTCTTCATGTTACTGGTTTGGAAACTTGGCTCTAAAAACCGAGAGGATTCTGATTTAATTCTCTGTACTCTGAACTTATACGGAGTTGAAAAGGCCTAATAGTACTTTAAATGAATACTTTAAAATGAATGTGAGGCCACTGTGCTCTCCCCTAACGTGTAGTACTTTGGAACAGATAAAATATGATACCGTTTGAGTGTAAAAGTCATATAAAACAGTACAGTTAGATCCCTTTGGAAAAGCTGCAATATTAAAATGCAGCTTAAATTTAAGTATTAATAACTCAGAATCTCCAAACTGACTACAGCTTACTTAGCCTGTGATTTGCTGTACTTGGTTGCATGGTTGTACTACAACCATAGGATAATCTACTACCTTATTATTTAATAGATTTGAGAGCATGACTGTTGTTGCCTAGATTACATCAAACACTTATTAAAAAACATCTATTGATGTTTGATATCTGATTGAGACTTTTAGATTTATAGTATAGAATTATATTGAGAATTTTAAAAGTCTTAAATGGTGTTAAATAAATATAAAAAAAATTCCATCGTTTATCAAAATTGATATATATTGTAAATATTTGCAAAGGGAAAGAATTAAATGCGAAAAAAGTTAAAGGAAAACATTATCTACACTTGCATTTTATTTTTATTTTTAACTAAATGCAATTGGAATATGAACCGTGGCTGCTTTTGGTGGACCAGTGCGGCCGTGAGCCATATTGCGCAATATTTTTGGTGATTCTCTTAAAATGCGCCTCGAAGTTTGTGGCTGAGCACAAACAAACAGAGAGAAGGAAGTTTGCTGCGAGCCTTTGAAAGCGCTGTAATGAACAAGCTGTTCCGCACGATCTGAAAATAATCCGCGTGTCAGTGTCAGCTTTCTTATGCAAATTAGCTGTCTTTGAAGGCGGATCTTTTGGCAGGTTAGACCGGGACGGAGGCTCCGACCAGCTCAGACGAGCACTGCCACCAAAAGCATCAACTGCCTACTTACAGAGGGAGCATAATCCTGCGTTTCTGGGACACATTTATAGAGACCGATATGTGTTCGACTTGTTTTGCTGACTGCTTATTTGTCCCCGTTGCCTTGCGAGCAGCCATGACCGTCGGATAAAGAGCTGGAGGGAGATTGTTTGTTTTTGTTTTTTAAAGTTGTCACACAATGACTGAAATCTGCCACAGAGAGAGAGAGACTCTCGGAAAGTGCCATGGAGCGTAAAGGCGAGCCGGTGAGACTTTTGGAAACAAGAGGGGAACACATCGGGGCACAAAGAAATTCTCTTTTACGCACAGCAGACTGATATTCACAGCGCAGGAGACGGAACAAGTAGCTGCTGCACCGAAGCCGCAAACTGAAAGCATGGACCAGACGGCACACTTCCAGCGAGGAACCGTGTTCGGACCGTCGCGGGATTTATCTTTGATATTTTAAATCTGCAGTTTTTAAAGTGAGGAAGCGATGGTCCTGCTACGGAGAGCTGAGTAAGTTTCTCCACATTGATCCAGTAACCGCCATCGCCAGCCTGGATTCATCGCTCACTTTTTTAATGAAAGAAACTTGTGTGTCTGAGGTTTTGGTGAACATTTAGCTGTTTTTTTGCCTCTATTAAAACAACACAATGTGTTCAGCTGTTAAAGTGAGCCTTATCTATGCGCTGGTGCTGCTGCTGTTGAGCAGTAGGGGCTCAGCCATAAGCTCAATAGATCCTGACTGGTCAGGAGAGGGGAGATGTCAGCACATCACCATCCCTCAGTGTAAAGACATTGGCTACAACATGACTCGCATGCCAAATCTGATGGGCCATGATGACCAAAAAGAGGCAGCGATAAAGCTGCAGGAGTTTGCCACCCTCATACAGTTTGGATGTCACAGCCACCTCAGATTTTTCCTCTGCTCACTGTATGCTCCCATGTGCACGGAGCAGGTGTCAAACCCCATTCCAGCGTGTAGAGTTATGTGTGAGCAGGTCAAGCTGAAATGTTCTCCCATCCTGGAACATTTTAACTTCCACTGGCCAGAGTCTCTGGACTGCTCACGTCTGCCTACCAAAAATGACCCAAACAACCTCTGCATGGAGGCGCCCAACAATGGCTCGGACGAACCTCCCAAAGTCTCCCACACCCAGCCTCCGGATTTCAGGCTGCAGCGGCCTCTGAGTGGGCAGGACCTTCACCCTAAAGACAGTGGCAGCAAGCAGATGTGCAGCAACCCAGGCAAGTTCCACTTTGTGGAGAAGAGTGAGTCCTGTGCCCCCAAATGCTACCCAAAAGTGGATGTGTACTGGAGTCAGGGAGACAAGCAGTTCTCTCTGGTGTGGATGGCCATCTGGTCCATCCTGTGCTTTGTCTCCAGCGCCTTCACAGTGCTCACTTTCCTCATTGACCCACAGCGTTTCAAATACCCCGAGAGACCAATCATCTTCCTCTCCATGTCCTACTGTGTTTACTCTGTGGGCTACCTCATTCGGCTCTTTGTGGGAGCTGACAGAATAGCCTGCGACAGAGACAACGGGGTCCAATATATTATCCAGGAGGGTCTGGAGAGCACAGGCTGCACTATTGTGTTCCTCATTCTGTATTATTTTGGCATGGCCAGCTCCCTCTGGTGGGTTATCCTGACCCTCACGTGGTTCTTGGCTGCTGGGAAGAAATGGGGTCACGAGGCCATCGAAGCAAACAGCAGCTACTTCCATCTGGCAGCGTGGGCCATCCCTGCCATAAAGACAATCATGATACTGGTGATGAGGAAGGTGGCCGGAGACGAGCTGACGGGCGTCTGCTACGTGGGCAGCATGGATGTCAAAGCTCTCACAGGTTTTGTGCTCATTCCTCTCTCCTGCTATCTCATTATCGGCACTTCATTTCTGCTGTCCGGCTTTGTTGCACTCTTCCACATCCGCAAGATTATGAAAACCGAGGGAGAGAACACAGACAAGCTTGAGAAGCTGATGGTTCGCATCGGAGTCTTCTCTGTCCTCTACACTGTCCCAGCCACCTGCGTCATCGCCTGCTATTTCTACGAGAGGCTCAACATGGACTACTGGCGCATTCTCGCAGGGGAGCAGAAATGCAGCAGCAGCGGGCTAGAGTCCGACGACTGCATCATGAAGGCTTCTATCCCCGCTGTCGAAATCTTCATGGTGAAGATCTTCATGCTGCTGGTGGTGGGCATCACCAGCGGCATGTGGATCTGGACCTCAAAGACACTGCAGTCATGGCAGAACGTGTTCAGCAGGAAGATAAAGAAGAGAACGAGGCGGAAGGCTGCCAGTGTGTTCACCAGCAGCAGGCCTTACATTAAACCTCACCCATCTCTCAAAGGGCCCAACACTAAATACGAGCCCACACGCCCCCCTCCAACATGTGTATGAGCTGACTCTCTTTGTGCAAACCCCCAAAATACTTTTAAAGCCCTAAACAAGACTTCTAATGATCAGTGCCATCAAATGAATCAAGCTTCATGTTTTATTTATGCAATATGCATCGAAGGTAATACAACATGGGGGTTTTGTTCAGTCTTGAGCCATGTCACACAACAAGAGCTGCCTTTGTTTGAGAAAAATCTGCTACTCCTGGATTCACTTATCCTAGAGGAAAAAAAAGTTATTGTTCCAGAGACAAAAAGAGTGGAATAAACCATTTGGATGTGCAGTGGGGTTACTTGAATAATGTGCAATAGATGTTTTTCATTACAGCCAAAACAACACTTGTACTGTTGTTGACCGATTACAGACAATGCATGATGAACCCCATAGACATTAATGGCAAATAGTCAGAGAGATGACCGGTGTGTTTGGAGGCTTTTTCTGTTAATGGAAATCAATGCAGTGCCATATATGTTTAAACTGGACTGAGAGCAGTTGCTGAAAGGCGCTCGAGACCTTCAGAACTGCCCCATTGTGAGGCAAATCCATGCCATAAATTAATCAAGCACTCAGTACTGAGAAAAGTTATTTGTAAATGCTGTTTTTTTTTTTCTTTGCTGTTTTATAGCACAAGGGAACATTTGTATATATTTCTGAAAAGTTGAGATTTTATAGAAAAGTAATAAAACGTTCTAGTTTTAAATGTTTGTAAAGCTGGAATTTTGTGTGGCTGCTGTGCTGTTGTTCTCCCTGTTGGCGTGAGACACGTTAAGCTTGTGAGATTTTTTTGTTGTTCTTTTTTACCCCCACTATCATATACAGGGAGTAATTTTAATGCGTACTAAACATTTAAACCATTAACCTTAATTTATATATGTGCTTAAGAGCTAGGTTTTGACTATTCTATCTGGAATTTTTATAAGAATATAAAATTAAGCAAAAAATATATCTGTAGTTCTTTATTAGCAGGTTAGTAGCTTATGGGAGATCCACATTAACTCATAAATCGTGCGCATGCATTTGATCGTGCTTATGGAAAATATATATTAACACGTCTGAAAAAAGGTAAATTAATAAGTGCGGGAACAGGAGAAGTGATGCACAAGTCGAGTGGAAATGAGTCGCTGTGTCCCGATTCTTGTTTTTAAACGTTCTTGAGGAAACAGTTGAAATGTGTGGCTAAAGATGACTAACAGCAGAAAAAAAAAACACAGTCAGTGTCATAAAAACATTACAGTTAGGCAGCACTGTCACTAATGGGCATATTTATTCAGTGTTTTCAATATTTTGTCCCAGAGATATCATTAATATTGTGTCCTCAGAACTTGATGTGGTGGCTTTAGATGTTGTCATTAGGATTGGGATTGTGTTTACATTTGTAACTGTTAGTGGCTTTCTTTAAAGATGAAAAGCGAAAGCGGGTGCAGTCAAGCGGTTTAACCTCCATGTTTATTGGACCAAATATCAGTGGTTTGAATCAGCGCTTTGATTGCAGTGTTAATGATTTTCTGCACTCCTCGCTGTCTTTATGCTGCATGCTTATGTAAGCCCGGTTCTTCAGCCACAGCTGAAGTGAATATAGAACTTTATTTTAGTCTTCCTTCTTCATCTCTCTCTTTCTCTCTTTTCTTCTCCGTCTCACTTTCTCGCTGCGTGCATGTGTCGGTGCGCATCAATGAAAGGGTTATACAATAATCCAGCTCTCATTCAGGACAGGATTAGACTGTTTGAAGGGTTTGACTTTGAAAAGAGCACCGCTGCAAACCAAAATACAGAATATCTGTCATCTCTTCTCTTCTTATCAGCAGGGCACGGTGACGTTTCTAAAGACACATCTGGTCAGGATTTGAAGTAGTTACATATTGACTGAGGCGATTTATTTTTTCTTTAAAGCGTGAGCAAACTGAATACATTGTCGTATACTGAGATGTTTAGTGTCCTTCCATTGTCAAAATATTAAGGTGCATGCACAAGTCTAGTCTTGAACCTCAGATTCATGTTTTCCCATTGCTGTGGTAGCAATGGGAAAACATGAATCTGAGAGATGATGGCAACAAATAAGGGTAAAGCTATAGTTTTGAGTATAAAACCATTTCCACTTTTTTCAGTCTCACTTTCAACCCTTTTTTTTTTTTTAGATATTTGTTTTTTTGTGACTGTACCATAGAAGTAAAAAATAGTTTAAATCCTATGTTAGAGGGCCCTCTCTGGTCTAATAAAGTTTTAGAAGTGTATTAATGCTTTATCCCTCAGGGCATTCAAGTTCCAGCGTCAACCCAACCCGTTTTAACAGTCAAAAGCACATGACTCACAAAGTCTATGTGGCTGAATCAAAGTCAGCCGGTGTCTATTGATACTCTGAGTTGCGAAAAAGGTGTGAGTTCTTCTGAGAGCTTCAACAGAGGCCACCTGGATAACAGCCCTGGAGGTGTCTGGGAAGGCTGTAAATAAAAATGACAGTTACCACCCCCCTCCGGGGCTTCTTCAGCCAAGCAGGCTTCACTTCTCTTCTTTTGCTCTCTTCAAAGGGGAAAAAAAAATCCTGCTCAGAGCAAGGGCATAGTAATGCTGGCAAGAAATTTCTTGAAATCACACTGAACTGTATTAATGTTTTTAAAAGTCTCATTCCATCACATCACAGGCAGCCTCTTGCCAAAGTGAAACAACTGATGTCTCATGGTGTTCTCTAGTGAATGCTTGTTTCTTGCAAGGATGCGTTTTATTTGACCAAGCGGGGAATCCCGCCACAGCCACATGACTAAAGCTGATGAATCTCAGATGCACGTATCTTAAAATTCCACCAGGATGAATCCCGTCACCCACATACTCCATCCGTTTCCTGTTCCGTACTCTTTCTGCCGTGCTGTGCTGGCGATAGCAGCAGGCATGCGTTTATGATGTGTTGACAAAAAAAAGGGAGGGGGGAAAGGGGGGCTTTTGCTTGTGATCAGTGTTGTTGAAATTGCATCAAACCTTTGATAATTATTTGATTTAATTTAATTTGACTGGTTTGCCAGCAAGCCAGGATTTTCAGCTTTTCACACTCTGTAATTGAGCTGATGTTAGGTGTCTTTGCAGAAAAGAGCGGTATTACGAACATAAAGTCAAAATGACAGGACAATTAAGCGTCCTCTGCGTGTCAACGGCAGATTCAGCTTCAGAGGGAAAGTGTCAAGTAAACATCGCCAGTCAAAACCTGAAGCCTATGCTTTTGTTTCAATAAGTGGCGACGCCTTCTACTCTGTGCTGTAGCTGTATGAAAGGCCACAGAGGAACTTATGCACTATTATCCGCTGTTTTTTCAAGCACTCATAAAGTACTCTGACACAGTGGCATAAATCAAGTTGCTGGGATGACTGGCGGCTCAGGCAACTTCTCTTTGATCAAGGCTTTATGGAGACGCCCCATGTCTTCATCCTCAGCTGCTCCGGCAGCACCTGTTTACTAGTTCAGGCCTGTCTATTTGGAAAGCAATGTTTAGCCTCTCAGTGTCCTAGACGCATACATGACGCGCACGCATGCAGCATACACACAAAGGAATTCGGCTGCTTCTCAGAGGAGAATGGGCTTCCGCCATCACGTCTGCTCCCAGTGCCCCAAACCCACTCAAGGCTCTTGTTTCTCTTATTAGAAAGCTACTTTAGATGTAAATCTGTCTCTTTTTGGAGGGTTCTGACTCCTTTGGCTATACCAGAATCTTTTTGAAAAAAGTTGACAAATGAAACAGCCTTGTTTCTTCTTGAAGAAGAAACTCAGAGGGTTACTGGATTAAACAAAACAAAAGGAAAATGCACAGAGAAAGACAGACAGAGAGAGCTGCAAGTTTCAAAGACCAAAGCATTATCATAGCATGCAATGAAAGCTCTCTATCATCCCTCAAGTTCTTGTGGTACAAAAATCCAGAGTTCTAAGGGCTTTGGTTTGGAGGAAGAGTGGGTGAGCTTCATGTTCTGAGTTGATCTATACAGCAAAGAAACTAGGGCAATGTAGAGTACAGCATATAAGGCCAATCTGCAACAAAGAGCAGCACTAATAGCTCTCTCACACACACATACATCCCAGTCTTATTTCCAGGCCGCGACTGAAGGTGAGAGTAATTACATAAAAACCTGGCAACAATGTGTTCTCTCCTTGTAAGGCGGGGGCAGGGCCCTTTTTCTTCAAATGCATAATGAACTGCCTCAAAAGCCCTCTGCTGATCAAACAAGTGTTTGATAACAGCTTTGGTTTGAAAGAGGACTGAATATGTTTATTTGCATGTGGAGAAGTGAGTGACTTTGAGGTGGAGATCAGGCAGATTAGTGTTAACTGACAGAGACCTGTGCAAACAGACACTCCCCCCGCATATGCAAGCAGGGCAGTGGCAAACTTCCTCTGAGGACCAGAGTATGGCAACTCGGGGCTATTTTTCAATTGTGCTGCTTTGTATGCCAGCTTCCTCCCTTAAGTTTGAGTCTATTTTTTTCCAGAGACTTTGCCTGTTTGCTTGTTGCATCTGAAAGCATGCACAATGATATCTGGCAAACAATATAAGGGATGGGAAATCCAATAACTTGCAGCTATTCATCAAAAATTCCCTCAGAACTGCATTCACAGCGAGACTCACTTTTGTTTCACGAGAGCTAAAGCATTCATCTGGAACTATTATACACTAAAAGCAGTGTGAAAAATATGGAAATTGGATAACAGTTGCATAGGGATTTTTGATCGATATTGGCAGTAGCAATCGCCTCATTGAACTCTCAGCAAGAATCTGAAAAATCCTAATGTGCAAATTGCTTTAACAGAGAAATGACCAGTCATATCTTTGTGTTTTGGCAAGTTGAATTGATGCACTTGTTCTCTGCTATGGCAACAACGGATATGCAACATTCGACACAAAACAATCAGATGAAAGCGAGCTGCTTCACGAGTGCGGTGACACCCATGGGCTTGCAACGTGACTGAGAAGGCAAGAGTCTGGTGTCAGCTGGAAGCAAGTTTTGCCACGGTGTCTAAGCAGCAGACTTTAATATGCCACCTTCGTAATCCACGCTGCTACGAGCTCAGATAACTCTAAAACACAGCAAAACACCAGAATGGGCCGGCTCTCCTTCGTACGAGGTCACTGCTATATTTCTTTGCAACTATGTATGGGAGCAACCCTGTGTGCATTCATCACATGTAGGGGCATTTTTCAGAGATGTTATGATGGCAGTGACAGGATTGATGGAGGAGTAGAGAGAACAGGCACAGCGGGAGGCTGCCGACATGTGTATGTATTTACGTGCGCGCGAGTTTACAGACAGTATAGGAGCTATAGAGGGAGAGGCAGAGGGAGAGGGATGATGATGGATCTGGCAGGGCTCATGAACACCGCTGAGAGAAAATGCCTGTGGTTCAAAGACACTCTCAGCAAACTTAACAAAGAAAGATGGCACAGAGGGGGAGAACATGAAAGCAAACTACACAATCAACTGTCACATAAACTGGGAAATAATATCCCCGTCCTGTTGGCGGAATATACTTCAGGCAGGCATGTGACTATTTTAATATTAACTCCATGCAAAAGATGGCAACAAGGCGAGATGTAGTTTGGTTTTTAATGCAGATCAAACAGCAGATTAGCAATAGTTTGATTTGGCTTACTGATAAAGTTAAAGGCCATACTGCAAATTCCAGAAGAACCTCAATATTATTGTACCCCGACCACTTGACTATAAG